TCCAAGGAATTCATGTTTCAATCCTGGGGGTAGCGGTTTCAAAGCTGGTTTGGGGCTCTCAATGTTTGATGGTTGCTGGCTGCTCGTCCTTTCTGGCAATTCTTCAAATTTGGGTTGCCATGGTGATGTCCCATAGTCCCGAAATTTTGCAAAAATAGCACAAATGTTAGCATATTCTTCATCATTAACACTTGCTGGAATTGAAGAATTCAAAAGAAAAAGATTTAAGGGGTCAGAATTTGTAGTCTCAAGTGCCTCCTCCTGAGTGAGTGCCTCAATCATATGTGTGTGGTGGCACTCATCACTTTCCATTGGTTGCTTAGCAATGTGAAAAATGTTGACTTCTAGAGTCATATTCCCAAAAGACAATTTCATTAGACCATTCCTGCAATTTATAAGGGCGTTAGCTGTGGCGAGGAAAGGTCTACCAAGAATAATAGGAATTTTAGAATCAACATTAACATCAACCTTCACATCCAAGACTAAGAAATCAACGGGGTAGTGGAATTTATCAATTTGAATCAACACATCTTCAACTACTCCCCTAGGTCTTATAGTGGATCTATCAGCTAGTTGTAGAACCACAGAAGTGGGTTTAATTTCACCAAGACCTAATAGTAAGTATATGGAATGGGGCATGAGATTAACACTGGCTCCCAGATCAAGGAAAGCTTGTGCAAACTCATGGTTCCCGATGACACAGGAAACAGTTGGACAGCCAGGGTCCTTATATTTCGGTGGGATCCTTTGTTCAATCACAGCACTCACTTGTTCGGTCAAGAAGGCAGTCTTCTTGACAATGTGTTTCCTCTTCACAGTGCACAAGTCCTTAAGGACTTTCGCATATGTAGGAACTTGTGAAATTACATGCAAGAGTGGAAGATTGATTTTTACTTGCCTAAGGTGTTCTAGGATCTCATTGTGTTGATTGACTGATTTTGGGCTAAGCTTAAGGGCTTGTGGAAAAGGTACCCTCGATGGATTTCCTACTGCCTCATCACTAGGGCTACTTTCTTCAGACTCACTAGACTCCTTTTCATTTTCCCTAGGTTTTGAAATTGGTTCTATAACCTTCCCAGATCAGGTGGTGATGGCATTTGCTTCTTTAAGGTTACTCTCTCCTGAATCTGAGGTTTGAGCCATATGCTGTCCCTTAGGCTTAGGTTGAGCTTGTGCTGGAAATTTCCCACGTTCCCCCACAGTTAAGGCATTGGTCAATTTAGACACATGATTTTTTATCTC